AGTGATTATATTGATAAAAACATATAATTACAAACCTAGATACAACTAGGAATAGCCAAGCAGCCATCCAGCTGAATCTAAGGGAGGCATACACAATGGTAGCCTAGAGATCTACACTAACGTACCCACGAACAGACAAACTATACAATCCCATACGGGAGAATCGAAACAGTCCCATACGAGAGAATCGATACAGTCCCATACGGAAGAATCGAGCTTCTAAGTAGAAGAATAAAATAAAAGGCCACCAAGGCAACCCAAAACACTACACAACACAAACACAATACTACAATACTAGAATAAGACCCTCCTCTCGCCGGCAAACAATCCGCACCAATCCATGGCTCGACACCTAGAGACGTCCGCACAAGGGAAAGAACCCAATCCAAGAAACCGAACCAAAAACTCCAGCAAGCGGCTAATTGGAACTGCAACCGGACCAAACTCCTCTCCCAAACGGCAACCCCTAGACCAACACCAGAGGACTAACTCCTTTCTCCCCAACTTCCGACCGACGATCCCATCCCAACCACCGACCGAGACCACATCCCAAACCCGCAAGACACAACCAGATCCACCAACCAACATCACCCGAAAACGGAAAAAGGGGAGAAAAGGACGATACCTCAACCCCGACCCCCTCACCGGGAGAAGGCCGGGACCAGTCGATCGACCCAATTTGGCGCCTACCGGAACCCGCTCCACCACTCATAGACGACCGACGAGTGCGGCGAAGCTCTACATCGAGGAAGGGGCGACGACTCCTAATGGGACGAGCAACTTGGGTTGGTGGCGATCGGCGCCATGGCGCCTTGGATTGAGCAGCAGAGAGGAGGTGAAGGCTCAGCTGCGGCGACGAAACTTCCTAATTTGGGGAAAAGGGTTTTCGCGAGGAGAGAGAAAAAATCAATTAAAGCTTCTTTAACTTCTATTAAATAGTTTCACAAGCCAAATATTTCTATAATAAACTCAATACACAAAGTCAAATAACTCAATGTAGAAGCAAAATATTTCTAAAACAACTACGACCACCCTCGTCTCCTCGTGACCGTCGTCATCTCCTTAACCTGAAAAATGTTAATGTATAGGGGTGAGCAAACACACGCTCACTGTGGGAACTATACAATATATTCATTATAATAATCGATTGACATAACTTTGATATGCAATGAACACATAGATCAAATACATAGATCCATCACAAGATTTACTACATAGGTCACAAATGTACAGATTTAACACATAGCTCATAACCGTACAGATTTATCACATAGCTCATAACTCTATAGATTTATATAGATAACAACTGTTTGACTGCTCTTCTCATCAACTCGTCTCATGTGTACACAATTTACCGTCGGCTCGCCTTCACATAGCCACAGGCGCTCAACGACGGGATCTCAGACCGGAGGTGCCACACAGTCAATGCCTCACATAGCCATGGCATTGCACCTCTCAGTCACCCCGGAGGTGCCACACAGTCAATGCTTCTCATAGCACCGCACCTCTCAGTGATTCGTACCGAAGGTACCACACAGTCAATGCTTCTCATAGCCCCGCACCTCTCAGTACTTTTGTCACGCAGTCATATTCATATCACACAGTTCATTTCACAAAGCATCTTTCACATAGTCAGGATCATCACGTATATCTCGATTATGGACCATGCGATTATAAAGAATAAAAGCATAGAGTTTAGCAACACCCACCTGGTCCGGATGATGCCGAAATTGCAGTTTGTGCACACAGTCACTCGAGGCTCGACTCCTCAAAAATCTACAATTTATGGCAAAATATTCTCATAAACAATTTGCCCTTAAACTCGGAAAATTCATTGAATTCATCTTAATCAATAACTTTATTGATTAAGCACTTCTAACAAATTAGTGGAACTCGAAACTTTGGAAAAAAAAAAAAGGCTCGGAAAAAGGGTCTCGAGGCTAAACTAAGGTTCGGCACGAAGAACGGGTCACACAGCTAAAAAAAGTGGTTTAACGACTCGGTGCTAGGCTCACGGTTCGACGATATTTTCAAGGCACAATTCAAAGGTTCAATACCACGAAAAATATCCACAAATCCAAAGGCGAAGGAGATTAAAATTTTCAAAGGTTCACAAGAGATTCAACAATACCAAAACTCAAGGTCTCATCAAGGCTCATGAATGGTTTCTCTCGTATTTTTCCAAGGGTTTAATCAACCAATAGCTCCAAAAATATGAGGCTAAACAAGGTTAAGTCCAAGACAACTAGGCATCACCAAAATTACAAACATTTCAAGGGTAAAAAAAAATATAACAAAGCACCATTCCGAGTTCCAAGTCCACTACTTTTACGCAAATAAATCACACCAAAATATATACAATCTCCCAGCTCCAAGTATCCACATTATTCCACCAATTTAAACACACAAATATAAATTCCCAAATTCCAGGATCCGAACTAATCAAACAAGGATCCAATCTAACACAAATATTCCTCAATTATCCACGATCACTCAAACTTTACCAACTAATACAAATTTTACACATAATAATCAATTCAACAAATATTCTCAAGATCTAACTCCATAATTTTTCTCAATTCATCAACAAAATCCAACAACTCCCAAGTTCACAATTTATCAATTAATTGCACAAATTAAACACAGGATCCTTCTCAAATCAACAAGACCCAAATATTCACAAATTAATCCAAATTCGCAAGATCCAACAGCTACACCAATTAACACGGCCACCAAACTCAATTTAATCTTAATCTCAAAGGCCTGCAATTCACAATCACGGATCCAAATTGCACAAAGAAATTAAAGAGGGATTTTGTCAAAATTCACCTCTCTTCGGGACTGCACGCACAAGAAAATCGGAGATGGAGGTCTCGATCACGGCCTGCTGCCCGCTTTGGTCTCGGTTATCTTTCGTACGCGGCTTCGGCAATGCTGCGGCTGGTCGCACAGTATCGAGGGAAAAATGGCTTCCTCGATGGCTGCTAGTTCGCCCCCGACGGTGCTGTTCAATCACGATACACGGTAGTCCTCGGCTCGCCCTAGCTGAACGCTCAAGATACACGGCTGTTCGGGTTCGGGCTGGCTTGTGTATGTTCACGCACAGCCTCATTCTTCCTCAGTGACACACACACACGCGTGGTCTGCCCCTATTTCGCTGCTACTTGTTCACCATGGCGGGTCTCGTCTATAGCTCCGGGTTGTGCGAGCTCGTCGCCAATGGCTGCCTTTGGTCGGATGGCACTGCACGTCCGCGGCGGTTAATGGACATTCGCGGTACGCCGGCGAGAAGGGGGATCGCGACGTGGACAGAGATCCGCGGCTTGGTCTCGCGGTGGCTGTGGGGTTGCTGCTCACGGCTCGCGTGTGGGCTGTCGGAGATGCTTGACGACGCCGGCGGGAGGAGGGCTGCTATTCCCGGTGGCCGCGATTGTTGTCACTTGTCAGGCATCGCGAATTCCGGCCGGCTGGTGCTCGCGACTCACGAGCAGGTCCTATTCGTAGTGGCTGAAAGCCGGAAGAAAGGAGGGTGATCTGATGGGGCGATTTATGAGGGGATGGGCGATTTTGCTGCGACGATTTGGGAGAGGTGATGGTGAAGGAGAGATGAAATATTTCGTACGCTCCGATGAACTGAAACCCTCGGGATGAACATAAAAGAAAGAAACGAGTGTACGGAAATTTCTTGAGGGGGAAAATGGGCTGGAAATTTTATCTCAATTTGGGCCAAATATGAACTCAAAAATGGGCTGGATTTTTGTACATAAGATAGCCCAAAAAGCAATAACATGTTAGGGCCAGATAATTAGCAAGGAAAGATCCAAAATAATTCCAAAAATTGGGCCAAGTATCGAACTCAAGGCTCGCTTGGAAAAGGGCTCGAACGAATATATCAACACGATTAAATCGAAAAATTTGGAATGATCTAACTAGCAATTTATAAAATTGCACTAAGCATATACGATATTAAACCAAGCATAAAAAAAATTGAAATAAGAGCAAGCACATAAGTAATATAAAAACAAGCAATGCACATAACACCAAAATTAAAGCAAGCACATGAAGATAATTAAAATCAAGCAGTGATAAAAAAAAATAAATACAGGCAATCAATCGAATAAAAGCAGGCAAATAAATAAATAAGAGTGATCCAATAAATAAAATAAAAATACAAAAAATTCACGAAAAGCGAATAGGGCACTGCACATATAATTTTTTTTTTATATAGTATCCATGTTTGAATACATGATATTATTATACAGTATAGGTATGGATTGTCTATGACTTTTAAGACGCTCACAAGAGTCAATAATGCTGCACACTGGCTATATGAAGGCCCCCATTCAGCTCTGAAATTGTAAATGACGAAAATAACTACAAGTCAAACTAATAATTTGTTTCGAAATTCTTGTTCGTGTAGACTAAAATTATTCTCATAATTTTGCTTTAGGCCATCACGAGCAACCATACAAGTGGATATTATTCCTATTTGTGAATCTTAGGACATTATTATATTAACATATAAATGTTGTAAGGAAGAATGAGCTCAACCGATTAAAGAGGTAATATATAAAACATTAAAATATTATATATGTGTGTTTGGAGGTCAATTAAGTATGAAAGAACATAATTTCATTGTTATACCTATAAAATTAAGTATTTCTCATTAAACATGATTTATACATGTGTAATTCGGAAGATTCAAACCCATGTCTATAGAACTATATTTGCTTTGTACTCGAATATCCTTGTCGAAATGGAGAGAAAAGCCCTCGAAAATGGCTAGGCAAAGCCTCCTTAAGGTACGTATGGTTAGATCTATAATCATTCTGATTAGGGTTTCATTTTAATTTAGGGTTTCATTTTGGTTTCAGCAGAACAACCGACCTGTGGTTTGCCTCTCATTATTTTGATTAGCGAGTGAGGAGCCGAGATTGTGGCCGCTCACTTTGTTTTCGTATGTCATGTGACGGTCGATGTAACATCAGTTTTGATCTATAAAATTTATTTACCAATAAAAAAAAATATAGATTAATATGTTATTTCAATGAATTTACGTCCATGTATCATATCAGATATATTAAGCCAACTCAGTTAGAAGTTCAGTTCAAGTCTTAGTTCAAATGTACAAATACAAAAAAGTCGGCGAGACGCTGGAAAGGGGTGTAAGGCGTACTAGAATTGTAATAAAAATAAGTTCTAGTGTAATTAACTGTGAGAATCAAACATGATGCTATTTTTAATTGCCTATTTAACTATTTTTTTATTAAAAAAAAATACAGACTGTTGAAAAAATAATATTTTTTGTCCTTTTCTAAACAAAATATTATATCAAAAATAATATTTTTTTTTTCTTTTGGTCCTTTTCTAAACAAAAAACAGACTGGGGAGCATTTCCACTCCATATGTTGGAAACGACACCGTTTGTTTGTGATTGAAAAATATATTATATTAGATTAGCTTTGATAGATTGAATAAAATGAGTTAGAGAGTAAAGATAAACCGAACGTATTACTTTGCGTTTATAAATATATATAAAGTGAAACCTATAATTGGAAAAATATAAAAATAATAATTTTGACTTAAAAAATAATTGTTGACTTACTAATATAAACAATAACAATGAGTCTCACATGTCAACCAATTTAATCGGATTTTGTTAACAAATCTCGATTTTTGGTAATAAATTTGATCTTATTTTGATAACAAATCTCCGATTTTGTTAACAGATTTGATCTGATTGTGATAACAAATCTCAGATTTTGATAACAAATCTTTTAAAATATTAGTTTTTTTTTTTTGTAACGCACTTCATATAATTTATACACAATATATTGCTGATAATCTTTGGGATTTATTTTGGTAACGAATTTTACAATTTTTTCGGATTGTTTGGAGTTAAATATTGCAGAAAAAATCTCGAGATTTGATAAATGATACATGTTAAAATAAAAATATTATTTTTCAACCAATCCAAAAAGCTTTACCAAATTAAATTTTACAAACTCGATTAATTTTGGTAAACATTATGTCACATTGATATGACACATAATCTTCAAAATAAAAAGTTAATTGTTGACTTACTAATATAAGCATTATCAATGGGCCCCACATGTCAACTAATTTAATCGAATTTTGATAACAAGTCCTAGATCTTGGTAACAAATTTGATCTTATTTTGATAGCAAATCTCGGATTTTGTTAACAAATTTGACTGATTGTGACAACAAATCTCGTATTTTGATAACAAATATTTTAGAATATCTATTTTTTTGGTAACACACTTCATAGTTATTTACACACAATATATTGCCGATAATCTTTGGGATTTCTTATGGTAACAAATTTCACAATTTTTTCGGATTGTTTTGAGTTACATATTGCAAAAAAAATCTCGAGATTTGATAAATGATACATATCACAATAAAAGTATTATTTTTCAATCAATCAAAAAAAGCTTACTAAATTACATTGTAACAAACACCATTAATTTTGGTAAATATTATGTCACATTGATATGACACATAATCTTAAAAAAAAAAAAAATTGTTGACTTACTAATATAAGCAATATCAATGGGCCCCACATGTCAACTAATTTAATTGAATTTTGGTAACAAATTTGATCGAATTTGGATGACAAATCTCGGGTTTTGGTAACAAATTTGATCTTATTTGATAACAAATCTCGAATTTTGTTAACAAATTTGATCTGATTGTTACAAAAAATCTCGGATTGTGATAACGAATCTCGGATTTTGATAACAAATCTTTTAAAATATCGACTTTTTTGGTAACACACTTCATAGTTATTTACACACAATATATTGCCGATAATCTTTGAGATTTCTTTTGCTAACAAATTTCACAATTTTTCGGATTGTTTGGAGTAAAATATGGCAGAAAAAATCTCGAGATTTGATAAATGATACATATCAAAATAAAAATATTATTTTTCAATCAATCCAAAAAGCCTTACCAAATCAAATTGTAACAACCTCCATTAATTTTGTAAACATTATGTCACATTGATATGACACATTATCTTCAAAATAAAAAATTAATTGTTGACTTACTAATATAAGCAATATCAATGGGCCCCACATTCAACCAATTTAATCGGATTATGGTAACAAATTTGATTAAATTTTGATAACAAATCTCGGATTTTGGTAACAAATTTAATCTTATTTTGATAACAAATTTCGAATTTTGTTAACAAATTCGATCTGATTGGGACAACAAATCTCGGATTGTAATAACAAATCTCGGATTTTGATAACAAATCTTGTAAAATATTATTTTTTTAATTAACTTCATAGTTATTTATACACAATGTATTGTCGATAATCTTTAGAATTTCTCTTGGTAACAAATTTCACAATGTTTTCGGATTGTTTGGAGTAAATTTTGCAAAAAAAAATCTCGAGATTTGATAAATGATACATATCAAAATAAAAATATTATTTTTCAGTCAATCCAATAAGCCTTACTAAATTAAATTGTAACAAACTCCATTAATTTTGGTAAACATTATGTCACATTGATATGTCACATAATCTTCAATAATCGAAAAATCCGAGACACATGTAACAAGTTCCACATTTTTTGTTTTTGTTTTTTTTTTTTAACAAAAACGGATAAACATATTTTTTTAAGTTGATTGTAATCACATTATTTAGGAAAATAAGTAAATCAATTTTTAAATTCCCGTGCGGGGCATATGTCACATACACAAATGTCTATATAACCATCACGAACATTGAACCAAGAATATTCTACAACCAATACATCCCACAAAACATTTTCTTTTTCACAAGATTTTTCGTATACATTCAAAATGACATTGGATTTTGGAGTAATCATGGATATCAAATAATATTGGCATCTATAAATCGACGATAAGTAATTGGAGGATCATTATCAATGGTCAAACCAACATTCTCAAGTGAAGGGGTGAATTTCCTATGCATCGTTTTGACTTTAGGAACTTTCTAACTTTAATTGATGTTCATAATGTTGATGAAGCCATGTTGTTTGGTACGTTATAATTTTTTGTTTATTTCTTATTTCGATTTTTTTAAGTTAAAATTTTTAATAAACTATATTATACATTATACATTTCAATATGATGCATTGTCTTATATTTTTGTAGATGCTATTGGATTGGTTGTTTCAATACAACCTATTCAAATGCAGGTTGTCGAGGGAGTTCCTACCCAAATGATTTGGAGTAAGAATCTTTAGCATTATATATTCATATTTTTATATTCTAACGTTTTATATGATTTTTTTCTATTATATTTCGATGTTAATGTTTTACGCATGTAATATCGTAAAAAAAAATTAAAATATCAATGTTTAAAATTTATTTTTGCAACTCATAATATGCCCTTTAAAAACCTCTTGGACATTGTGTAGGGGAAACATAAAGAACTGTGCGGTTTGGGGCCAGTTGTATGTTGTTGTCTCCCGTGTCACAAACAAAAATGGTTTGAAAATCCTAATTTGTGGCGACGGTGACGTGCCAAAGA